GTTCATCAAGTCAAGGTTCTGGTCATGATGATGGTGATGCTTTGGGAGATGTTTTCATTTGGGGTGAAAGCATAGGGGAGGGAGTGTTGGGTAGTGGAGCTCATAGAGTTGGCAGTTGTTTTAGTTTCAAAATGGATTCTGTATTGCCAAAAGCTTTAGAATCTGCAGTAGTACTTGATGTCCAGAATATTGCATGTGGAAGCCGGCATGCTGCCTTGGTAACCAAGCAAGGAGAGGTATTTTCCTGGGGAGAGGAATCTGGAGGTAGGCTTGGGCATGGTGTAGACTCTGATGTTTTGCACCCTAAGCTTATTGATGCACTGAGTAACATGAACATTGAGCTTTTGGCTTGTGGTGAGTACCATACTTGTGCTGTAACACTTTCGGGTGATTTATACATGTGGGGTGATGGAACTTATGGTCTTCTTAGGCACGGAAATGAAGTGAGTCATTGGTTTCCAAAAAGAGTGAATGGACCCCTAGAAGGCATACACGTCTCATCCATTTCTTGTGGACCCTGGCACACAGCTGTAGTAACCTCTGCTGGTCAGTTGTTTACTTTTGGTGATGGCACATTTGGTGTTCTGGGCCATGGAGATCGGAGAAGTGTCTCAATACCAAGGGAAGTGGATTCCTTGAAGGGACTCCGCACTGTACGAGGAGCTTGTGGTGTTTGGCATACTGCTGCAGTTGTAGAAGTCATGGTTGGGAATTCAAGTTCAAGCAACTGTTCCTCTGTTAAGCTGTTTACTTGGGGAGATGGTGATAAAGGTCGACTTGGGCATGGAGACAAGGAAAAAAAACTTGTTCCCACTTGTGTTGCTGCTCTGGTTGAACCCAACTTTTGTCAAGTTGCCTGTGGACATAGTCTAACAGTTGCGCTTACAACATCGGGCCATGTCTACACCATGGGAAGTCCTGTTTATGGGCAACTAGGTAATCCACATGCTGATGGGAAGCTTCCCACTCGTGTTGAAGGAAAACTCTCTAAGAGTTTTGTTGAGGAGATTTCTTGTGGTGCCTATCATGTTGCAGTTTTGACCTCGAGAACTGAAGTCTATACTTGGGGCAAGGGAGCAAATGGTCGATTAGGTCATGGAGACGCGGATGACAGAAACTCACCAACATTGTTAGAAGCTCTGAGAGACAAGCAGGTCAAAAGTATTGCATGTGGTTGTAACTTCACAGCTGCCATTTGCCTTCATAAGTGGGTTTCAGGTGTTGATCAGTCCATGTGTTCTGGTTGTCGCCTGCCATTTAATTTCAAAAGGAAACGTCACAATTGTTATAATTGTGGACTAGTTTTTTGTCATTCATGCAGCAGCAAGAAGTCCCTTAAGGCTTCAATGGCTCCAAACCCCAGTAAACCTTACTGTGTTTGTGATAATTGCTTTAATAAACTGAGGAAAGTCATTGAAACTGATGCATCGTCTCAGTCTTCTGTGAGTAGAAGAGGAAGAATCAATCAATGGACTGGTGATTTTGTTGATAAAGATGAGAAGTTGGATTTGAGATCTCGTATGCAACTTGCTAGATTCTCATCCATTGAATCCTTCAAGCAAGTGGAAAGCCGTTCTAAGAGAAACAAGAAATTAGAATTCAATAGCAGCAGAGTTTCACCTGTTCCAAATGGAGGTTCTCAATGGGGAGCACTTAATATTTCTAAATCTTTAAATCCAGTATTTGGATCATCTAAGAAATTTTTCTCTGCTTCTGTTCCTGGATCAAGAATTGTTTCTCGTGCAACATCACCAATATCAAGACGTGCTAGCCCACCTCGTTCAACAACACCAACTCCAACACTTGGGGGCCTTACCTCACCAAAAATGGTCGTGGATGATGCTAAGAAGACCAATGACAGCCTTAGCCAAGAGGTCATTAGATTAAGAGCACAGGTAACATTTAGTCTTCTGTACTTCTCAATAATCTTCTAAAAAAACTCAAATCCTACAGTAAATCTGTTGTTGATATGTGGTTTAGGGGGTGGAAGCATGGTGATCTTAACCTATTTCTGGTGGAAATTAAGTACCGGAAATAGGTGAAGCTGAGCATTAATTAACAGATGGCAAAACATGCAGATTACCCCCTAAACTTTTCATAAGCAACAAGAATTTATGTGTTTTTTGCCTGACCAATCTTTATCTCTTAGGTGGAGAATCTTACTCGTAAAGCCCAGCTTCAAGAAGTTGAGCTGGAAAGGACAACTAAACAGTTGAAGGAGGCCATTGCATTTGCAGGAGAAGAAACTGCAAAATGTAAAACAGCAAAGGAAGTCATCAAGTCACTTACAGCGAAGGTTAGATGGATGTTTATGTTGGTATGACAATCTGTCATGTTCATTAAAATTTGGGCCTCCATGACCTCAATATAACATGAAATCATCTCATAATCTTCTTGAAGGGACAAATTTGATTAGATTTACTTCCTGTGAAATGTGAATATCATTTTGATTCTTGATCTAGGATTATATGCTGGGAGTTTAGCAGTGCAATTAAATGCTTATAAAGAAACAAAGAGGAACTATCATGCACAATTGATAATGTTTCACTCTGGACAGTGGTTGTCTGGATCTTCATTGCTGTTCATCCTTATGGATGAGTTGCTTTACATCTCATATTTTCATCAAATTTTTGTACTGATTATGTATGTATCATTTGTCAATAGTTGAAGGATACGGCTGAAAAATTGCCTGTGGGAGCTGCAAGGAGCATCAAATCACCTTCGTATACTGCCTTCATCTCCAGTCCTACTTCCAATGATGTCTGTTCAACTCCTATTGACTGGTCGAGTAGTCAGACAGTGAGCCAAGAACCAGAGCCAAATTTATCAAACAGCCGTTTACTTTCCAATGGCTCCAACATGGCCAGTAATTGTAGTTCCGGCCACAACAGGCAGGTCAATAATGAATCAACCACGAGAAATGGAAGTAGAACAAAAGAAGGCGAGACCCGTAATGATAATGAATGGGTTGAGCAAGATGAACCTGGTGTGTATATAACACTTACCTCCCTACCATTGGGTGGCAAGGATCTCAAGCGAGTTCGTTTCAGGTATATTGTATTCATGTTATATATTTGATTGATATCCGCAGATAAATTTATAATTCTAAATAAAACTGAACTATTTGAAACTTTCAATGCAGTCGAAAACGGTTTAGTGAAAAGCAAGCGGAACAATGGTGGACAGACAACCGGACAAGAGTATATGAACAATATAATGTCCGTTCAATTGACAAGTCAAGTAGTGTTGGTGTTGGGAGTGAAGACTTAGCTCATTAACAGGTGAAAATAACCATATGTAAATGTAGTTGTCTTTTCAAGATTTAGTCGATGTGGAGGCCAATTGATCAAATTATATTTTGCTTCCATCATCTGTCAAGGATAGAAGGAAGCTGAAACGGTATAAAAGAGAGAATTAGGGAGATTTGATTGGGTGCTTCTTTTTTTTTCCACTTGATTTCACACTCCATTTTTTTCCCTAGAAAGAATTTACTTGGTGTGGGGGTTCAAAGTGAGAAATGTAAATTCTTAAAAGGTTGCTGGTTCCTGTAGAAAGCAGCTGCCTTGTAAATTCATAAGCAAATTCATCAGCCCCTTTCTTAGTGCCTTATATAATTACGGTTTTGTCTGTTGGGAGCAAGTGACTCATTTGATTTCCTCTTTATTTTTCAGTATATTGTGACTCACTGTACTGAAACTTCCCCATAAATGTAATTAGAGGCAAAATGATTTGAATATTACTCTTTATACAAAGATTGAATGGTATTGACATGATCTTTTTAGTTCTGTTCAATTCGCAATCAATCACATATATTTGCAGAAAGACAAATTTGAGATTTCCTTAAAAAACCCGAACTTTCTGGTAATCCTTGGGCTTGGACCGTGGGAATTTCTCCTCTGAGAACTCGTGTTTTGGGGCCATGGTTATGAGCCTGCAAAAATATTATAAGTGTGTTTAGTTTGAGTGTCTAAGTAGTATATTTATTATTTAATTATTTGAAATTAAACTTTACACTTATAGTTTCAAATATTTTAATTAATTATAAATTAATAAAATCAATCAAATTAAATAAATTTATAATATTTTATGTGAACTTACCAAATATTTATGTAATCTTACAATATATTTAATTTGAAAAAAACGAAAGAAAAAAAAAGAGATAAATAAAAGAATATACTATCTTTTCTTCTCCCGTTAGTTTTTTTCCACTCTTTTTATTTAAATAAGTAAAAGAATCAAAGAAGAAAATAATGTAAATAGCTCCTCTCTCCTCAATTTTTTTTAATTGACTATTTTATTAAAATATTTAAATATAATATTATATATATTCATTTAATGTCATATCATATTTATTTAATATTATATTATAATTATAAATTTTATATCCTATATAATATTATAACCATAACAACGTTATTATCTTTCTAACCAAATTGAAAAATTCTATCCCCTCCTTTTAGAACCAAACATAACATACTAATAGTTGCATTCGCTTGTTATAGCTTATTAGTGACCACTGCAACCCATCAAGATTGTCAGTGGATTACACTCTATTAGTGGTCAAATCTTGCCAATGATAAAGAATCTAACTAATTTCTAATTTTTAATTTCTAACCATTGCTTTTGTTCCAAAAAAAAAAAAAAAACCATACTAATAGCCACAGCCGGGTTGGGCGGAAATTTTCTGGGTTTTACTTCGTAACACATTTACCACTTTTGCCCCTACCAAAAAGGGTTTCGTCGAAATGAAAATTTACGCATATTGCCATTCGTCCCCGTTGATTTTCGTAGTTAGAGTAGAGCTTAATCTTCTTCCATAACATCTCTTGAATGGATATCTCAAAATTGTTCTCTCTCATAAGAGCTTGTGTTAATTCCAAATCTCTGATAAAGGGTAAGATTATTCATCAGAAAATTATCGTTCTTGGGTTGCAAAACAATATTGGCTTGTGCAAAAACCTCATCAGCCTTTACTTCTCTTGCCATTTGTATGATTCTGCAAAGCTTGTTTTTGAAACCATCAAGAACCCATTTGATGTTTCTTTGTGGAATGGCGTCATGGCTGGTTACACCAAGAACTTCATGTTCAGGGAAGCTCTTGCGCTCTTTGAGAGGTTACAGCAATACCCTTACTTGAAACCTGATGGGTATACCTACCCGAATGTGCTCAAGGCTTGCGGTGGATTGGGTAGCGGTGGTTATGGTAAAACGATACATGCCCATTTGATAAAGACTGGTTTTTTATGTGATGTTGTTGTTGCGAGTTCTCTGGTGGGTATGTATGCAAAGTGCAATATGTCTGAGTATGCTACCCTTATGTTTGATGAAATGCCTGAAAGAGATGTAGTTTGCTGGAATACTGTTATTTCATGTTATTATCAAGATGGGCAATTTGAGAAGGCATTGGAATTGTTTGGGAAAATGAGGAATTCAGGGTTTGAGCCTAATGCAGTAACTCTGACAACTGTTATCTCAGCCTGCGCAAGGCTTAAGGATTTGGAAAGAGGGAAGGAAATTCACAGGGAATCTACGAAAGACAGGTTTTTGTTGGATGGATTTCTTGGTTCTGCTCTTGTTGACATGTATGGAAAATGTGGTTGTATAGAGTTGGCTAAGGAAATTTTTGAGGGAATACCAGAAAAGAGTGTGGTAGCTTGGAATTCCATAATTGCAGGTTATAGTTCAGCAGGTGATAGTAAATCATGCATTGACCTTTTTAATAGGATGAATATGGAAGGTGTTAAACCATCTCTTACTACTTTAAGTAGTCTATTGACAGCTTGTTCAAGATCAGCCCAACTTCACTATGGAAAATTCATACATGGTTACATGATAAGACACAAAATGGAAACTGATATCTTTGTTAACATCTCACTAGTTGATCTATATTTCAAATGTGGAGATGTACTTGCAGCTGAAAAAGTCTTTGAGATGATGGCTAAGACAAATGTAGCCACATGGAATGTTATGATTTCTGGGTATGTGTCAGCTGGACGTTACTTTGATGCTCTTCGCATGCATGGAAACATGATAGAAGCTGGTGTCAAACCTGATGAAATAACTTGTACTAGTGTCTTACCTGCTTGTTCACAATTAGCAGCCTTAGAAAAAGGAAAGGAGATTCACAATTTTATCATTGAGAATATGCTGGAAACCAATGAACTAGTCATGGGGGCTCTCCTTGATATGTATGCTAAATGTGGCACCGTGGACAAAGCAGTTAGCATATTTGATAAGTTACCAGAGAGGGATCTTGTATCATGGACTTCTATGATCACTGCCTATGGGTCTCATGGTCAAGCTCTAGAAGCTTTGAAGCTGTTTGGTCAAATGCAGCAGTCTAATGCAAAACCAGATGGAGTTACTTTCCTTGCAGTTTTATCTGCTTGTAGCCATGCAGGATTAGTTGATGAGGGTTGCTCTTATTTCAATGAAATGATCGACTATGGTATCAAGCCCAAAATTGAACACTATTCATGTTTGATTGATCTTCTTGGACGTGCTGGAAGATTGCATGAGGCTTATCAGATTCTCAAGAAAACCTCAGAAATAAGGGAGGATGTTGATTTGCTTAGCACACTTCTGTCTGCTTGCTGTTTGCACAACTCTTTGGAATTAGGGGAGGAAATTGGGAGATTTCTAATGGAGAAAGATCCAGATAATCCATCAACTTACATTATTTTGACAAATATGTATGCTTCTGCCAAGAAATGGGATGATGTACGCAAGATGAGATTAAACATGAGAGAGCTACACTTGAAGAAGAATCCTGGTTGTAGTTGGGTTGAGATTGACAAGAATATCCAACCTTTCTTTGCAGAAGATAACTCACACCCTCAAGCAGAGATGGTGTTTGAATGTCTAATGAGTCTTACCAGTCACATGGAGAAGGATGAGTCACTACATCCTTTGCAGTTAAGTACAGGCTAGTTCTTCAACTCCTTTGTATATATCTTGGTTCTGAGGTGCGCAATTTAGGAGACTTACGATACGTATATTGCAAAACCATATAGAGATGGCCCAAATTCTCCGTGAAAAGTTGGTGCAGACTGCGGAGAGCCACTGCAAGGGATTAGCTTGAGCAATACCCATGGTTAGGGAATCCCCATAGGCCCTGAAGTCGATGTGGCTTTAGAACAAGCCTTTAAATTGGAAGCTCAGTTTTCAATGAGAGGATTGATTGGATTTGGTGGGAACTTGACCTGTTTTTAGGTTTTTGGAGGGAAGGACAGCGGTATTGATCTTGTTTTCTTATATTGTCATGTTCGTAGCCGTGGAGGAGCAGGGGTAGTTGGATTTCATGTCCTCAGTGGGGTACTGGGGCATGCATATATAGGGCTCCATAGACATTTGGTGTTCATATCCATGGTTAGGGGAGTTTAAGGTCAAAGTTGATACGATATTATTTCTTAAACTATTGCATTACTTCAACTCGACCTTCGACCCAGGCTTTTGTTGGTATCAGTATCATCATGGATTCTGTTTTGATTAATGGTAATCATGACAGATTTGTGAAAAATTCCTCTTCAACCAAGTCAAATAAGCTAGAAAATTATAGACTGATAGCTAGAAAGTTCTTCAAAATTAAAAGGAAAGAGAATGAAATGAGATCAAAAGCCATGGATCACAACAAAAATGCTGAAACACGGGAGAATTCCAAATAATAGAGAAACCCTCTTGCAAAGAAGCTGTTTCAAGCGACTAATGAAAACTCAACAAAGAAATTTTCTGTATTTAACAAGTAATATCCATAGTGAATTCCATTCATGTCATCCATAGACTTGCAGCTCAAAGAAAAACTCAACTCTAATTAACACGACTATAGGAACTTAGTACTATTTTCCACAATGTATCAAGCTCCCAGCACCCAAGAAAAGACCGAAAATTGCAGCACTCCCAATTGTGGTTTGTCCAATATGCCTAATCTTTAGGAGTCCTGGTACCTGCAAGCCCCAAAATTCAGGACATAATAATTATAAGTTAACACTAACACGTTGAAGATGAAAACGAAAATGTATTTTGCATTATGTAGTTATTCAGGTCTAGAAACACATGCATAAAAAAAATGAGGTAAGCACAATTCATCATTAAATATGTAAGAAAATAAAAACAGAAATTGGGACCCAAACTAGCTTTGCTGATTACTGAAATAAAATAGTTCCTTGTCTTAAGCTTTCTCCAATTAATGAGATCTTGAAACCTTGGTCAGTGGAGCATTGCTAGGGCTCCACTTCTTGTTTCACAGCTAATAAATTCCACCAGGAGGAAAACTCAAGAAAGGTAATGCCAGTGCTTATCATGGCACACGACTATCATCATGTCAAGATATAGAGCATGAAACTATTCATGAAAATTTGAAAATCTTTATATGGAAATGGAATACACATACAAATATTAGTGGAGAAATGAAAAATAAATGCATTATTATATGATTAAAGAGCAAAAAGCATAAGTAAGCAGTGCCATCATCACGACCTAATGTACTCAGAGTTCAAGACAGGTCAGGGTAATGTACCTTAAACCTAATAGCGTCATACGTCCCATACACTGCACCTGCATATAAATTCATAATCAGACAATCATTTGACACCATAAACGCAACAGGGCTAAGACTTCCAAATGACTAAGTGGAAAAACATCCAACATGATGCACGGAGAGTGAAGCTATTCCATTACAATATGCCAAACTGACTGAGATATTTCCATGCAGACTGTAAGTATGCATACTGTGTTCTTGATACAACTTCGGTTTAATTCCTAACCAAGTTTATGCTTACACTTATAGGCTAGGAAGCTGTTAAATGAGCACCATTTTTCTTGTGAGTTTCTGTAGTAGATCTAATAAGGGCTTTATTTGTTTTTCAATTAAAGAGTACAAAAATAGATTGAAAAACTGTTTGCAGTCCAGACTGTACTGGACCACAAAACAGGGACCCTTAGATGGGGGGAGAGCCTGGAAGGGATGCCACCCCTCATTCAAGGGTCTCCGACTGCAAAACTTTTGGACTCAAAATAAGGATCCTAGCAGCCTCAAAGATACTGCAACATTCCAAGTTACCAACTTCTTTAAAGCACCGAAAGACTGACTACCTCCATCTATCAAGCAAAGCACTTTTAACAACATTTTTGTTGGTCTATAATAGAAAATTCACAAATGTATCCATCTGATTTCAGCAGCAAAAGCAAAGCCCAGCAGAGATGCATTATTCTATTCTCCTAACTCACCTACACCAAAGTTTTCCAAGAAAAACAATTCTCCTCAATTTTCTTCAGATTCATTCCCCTGGACAAAAAAAAAAAAAAAAAAAAACCATGTCCTGGATGCTAACAAACACCAACATATACATACACAGCTATTCCATGCAATGATTTGAAGGCAAGAAAAACCCAAATACAAAATCTATGATCAAAGATGAAAAAGAAAATGGGTATAAAAAAAAAAAAAAGAATAGGGTTCTAGGGAAGTACCGACGGCACCACCAATAGCACCGCCCACGGCGAATCCAGCGGTTACACGAGCTAAACAGCTATCCCTAGCCATATTCTTTCTGGTAATCTGTACCTCTCACCCTCAGAGAACGTAGAAATTTAGGATTTGTTGAGGCCGGAAAGAAACTGTGATTGATTTGTAGTTGCAGCTGCTTTGGGATCAAGTTTGCTTTGCCCGTAAATTTCTTTTCCATCCACCTCCGGATGTTTCCTTTTACACACATTTTTCCTTTTGGGATTTTGGAATAGAGGGTTAATTTAGGCCCAACGGGAATCTCAAGCTGGGCTTGCGCAAAGCTAAAAGCCTTTTTCGGCCGACAAAGCTAAAAACCCTTGAGAGTTGAGATAAAAGTAAAACCCGCACAATAGTTTTTGCTAAAGTATATTAGAGATTAAGAGTAATGATAGGAAGATTGAAAAATTTTGGGATGAAAATTTGATATTAATGACATGATTTATATTATGCTATTAAATTAGTTGATATGTATAATATTATGGATTTAAAAAAAAGTAATTATTAAATAATACAAAATTTACATTTTAATATTTTAAATGACGTTGTTTATGTTATGTTGTTGATCTTACATTTCAATCTCAAATTTTAATTTTATTTATCATTATTTTTCTGTTAAGAGTCTTCCTCTATTTATAGTTTGGTATAATTTTTTTATAATTTAATTTGATTATCCGTAGTGATAAAATTTTCAATTATTGTGTTAAAGAAGTGGAATTATTATTTCTAGTTATAGATGTAAGAATTTTTTTTTAATGGAATTATAGATGTAAGAAGTATTCCTTACATGTACAACACTCATGATATTAAAGCCTCAAAGTATGCATGGGATTAAAATCTTATTACCAATAAACTTAAAAATAAAGACTTATATCATTAATGTGCTAAAAAAAATTAAGTTGTTAATTACACAGCTCATGTAACTTCCATAATTAAAGAGGGGGAAAAATTTTTAAAGCTCATTATTTGAGGTAGCTATGTCTTGTGCGTGGTTGCA